CTTTATTTGCATTACATCTTAACAGGAAGTGCAAGTGTGTGAATAAAAGAGGTTATATAATGCCAACGTGTCTTTAATGTGTGTGTAGGAGTCATTCAGTGGCACTTTATACTTGCAGATGACGCTGTTGGCGCTCCAACGACCTTGACATACATGGCAATGGCGAGTGATGAAAAAAGCGGAAGGGGCGTGGCCTGTACGGGGCGTGGCCTGTACGGGGGCGTGGTTACTTACTGGCACTTTATACTTGCAGATGACGCTGTTGGCGCTCCAACGACCTTGAACAACAGGCCTTGAACTTCTCACGGCCTCACTTTGCTTCAAAGCAACAGTGACATCTACCAGAATTTGAGTATGAAGGATGCTCAAGACAGAGGCACTGTTAATAAATAGTAGATTGTCCTAGACCAGTGGTTCTTAACCGGGGTTTGATCGAACCCCAAGGGTTCGGTGAATCGGTCTCAGGGGGTCGGCGGAGCATCTGCCGGAGAGGTTAAGACACACCCGACTCAACATGTTAATTAGTTATGACACGCCCGCTTGGCCATCACTGGCTGCAGATGATCACATGATATTGCTTGTCCAATCAGTGCTGCAGGAAATTTAGTTCGCAACTGTCATGATAGTACGTTGTGTGATTTTATTTTATTTTTTTATGTTTTAATACATGTTATGTCGAGCAAAAAAAAAAGTGGTCAGACGAATATGTACCGCATGGATTCCCATGCATCACGGAACGTGCTATAAATACAGCCGAGTTGAGTGATGGGACTCAGCATCCTAACTGCATGATTTGTCATGCCAAGTTGAGCAACTCTTGTCTCGGACCAGCAAAACTGAAGGAACACTTCTTGAATCAGATTTTTATTTTTCAGTAATGAAGGGTTCGATGAATGTGCATTTGAACTGGTTGGGTTCGGTACCTCTAATAAAGTTAAGAACCACTGTCCTAGACTATCTACGATTTCTGGAGAAATTTTGTGTGAATGCTGAAATGCAAAAATATGAATAATGATTTGCGTTTGGTAATGTTGGTCCAGGCTCCAGCTAACCTACGGGCCACAACCCTAACGAGGATAAACAGTATAGAATATGAATGGAAATGGATGCCATGACACAAACGTATGCAAATGGTGTGGTGAAACACTCCCAGTTATAATGTACATACATTGGCAGATGTTAGTTTCTGCATTAATTGCATGTATAGTATATACTGTATATGTACTCAATATGAAGCCTGTACTTAAACACAGCCCAGAATCCTAATCAAACATTATAGTAGCGGATGTCATTATGAATCTTATTATGAATTTACTTCTCATGACTTTAAATATTTTGATCACTGTAATTGTCGTTTTTTATTTTTTATTAACAGAACCCATAAAACAATAAATGATCTGACGAAATGAAAATGACAAAGATGAGGCTGTCTCTTACTGAAGTTGCAAGTAGGCAGAGTTCAGTGTCCTGCCCTCCAGTTCCATTTCAGTTAAATTACAGATGCATGGCCCAAAAAAAAAAAAAGAGCACCATTTCAGCCATTTTAAAGCGTTCTCAATAATTTACACAGTGCTTCTGAAACTCTTTCCTCTTCTCTAGTTTGTTTCCAATGCACTACCCCACAACCCTAAACAACCCTGTACAAACAAATACGGTATGTACACAACACAAACACACTTTAGGCCTGATATTTACTCTCTCCTAAGAGCAGTTCAGAGCCACTGTTGCTAAGCATGACTTATGCTGCATTCATCCCCAATTTGGAAATGATAGAATTCTTTTCCGTAACTCAGTAATATGGATGTCTTCCAATAACATTTCTTATTCCATGAGTACAAACTTCAATTTGTGCTATTGGTGTTCACCACGGTGAAACATATCAGCATCGCATCAAGCAGAAACACTTTTATAAGGGACACTTTTATACGTTTTGCCAATGGAATCTGTTAAGAGTGGACGAACGTGCACTGTAGCGCACGCAATTTGGGATTGAAGGTCCATCGATTAAGTGACAACTAGTCAACAATCAAATTTATGGATTATTATTTTTGATAATTGGTGAATCATTGAGATCCCCTTTTTGATTCAAAATCGTCCGAATGCTCAGAAATTCAGCTTCTCGGCAGTAAATATTGTCTGATTTCTGGAGTCCATAAAATGATTGCTCAAACAAAGTAACCAACATTTTCGAGGGCAATTTCAAAAGTAGAATCCAAATATCTAATTAGTTTTTTTCTATATGATCTCATTTTTTGTCATTTGAATTTTTTTGACAAAAATTAGATCTCTGCACAGTTGTAAGGTAAATTAAATCAGTGTAGGGGTAGAAGAGCACTTGGATTTACTTGTGTCATGTTTTGCGTGGTGGTAGTTTGAGAACCCCAAAAAGCAGGGAGGCAGGGAGGAGCAGGGTGGACTGACCAAGTTGTATTTAACCAAAAAATGCAAACAGGAGTACACTGGAAAAACATTAACTCAAAGTACTCGAACAAAGTCCTGGTAATCACAAGGAACCAAAGTAACAAAAAAACTATGACAGAAAACAAAACATGACAGGAGCACACATATACTCACAACTCACAATGAGCCAAAAAAGACCAACAGAGCTCAGGGAACTAAATCCAAGCAAAGTAACGAGACACCGGGACAAGACACAAAGGGTTGAGGAGCTGATTGGTTAAACACAAGGGGCACAGATGACGAGAACATGTGGTGACAAAAAGGGGCACATGAGGGAACAAAACCAAACTGAAACCAAACCAAAACATAACAGTACCACATGGACGTGGCTCGGCTCAATGTGGACGTGGACGGGGCTCGACGTGACGGGAATATGGGACGGCTTGACCTTTTTTTTGTTTTGAGTCAGGGTTTTAGTTTTGAAATTGTCTTATTTTTGACATTGTGCACCTTATCCTCTATGTGCTCCTACTGTGACATTAATTTCCCTTTAAGGGTGAATATACGTTTTCATTCTGATTCACTTTTGATCAGTGCCATGTGAAAGTGTGTGCCCGGAACACATGCGTGTTTCTTCCTTATTATTTTTTCATTCTGGTCGGCGGACAAGGCACCGAAACGGGAAACCGAAATTTTAAAAGGCAAACGATTCCGGGAGAATCGGAATGTTGGTCCCCATTCCTATTCATTCAACACTTGATGTCCAACCCTAAGTACACCAGAGGTTTGAATTATCGCAACACTAAATACCCCATGGCCATGAAATGGTTAAGCTTGAAACGTTTATGCATCTTTTATTGATCAGGGTAAGGACTCTAGATGACAACAATGTACAGTTGTACATTATGTCTCAAAATAAAGGACTTCAGTGATGTTAATATTCACTGAATTATATGTGTACATTTACAATATAATAAGAGGTTGGCTTGGTAAAGAGACAAATATGTACCGGTATTTTCCAAAGTTTCGCTACTACAAATATTTTTTTGTGGCTGCAGTGCCGCATGTGATAGGCCTGACTGCAGACACCTCTGGGAAATCATCCAATTTCCTGTTATATCACATCTACCAGAAGCGGAAAATTTAAGATGTGTGGTGTGTTGTGTTTTGTGTAGGGGGGTGGGGGGCTTTGTGGTGAGCGAGAGAGGCTGCTCGGTAGTTATTCAGTGTGGCTGTATCTTGCAGCCTCCTTCAGTCAGAAGTGGGTCAGATCACATGACACCTGCTTTTATACGGACTTCGTTAAATGTCAGGTTGCTGACATGCATGTACAACCAGGAGACAAGACAAAATTATAGAGAGGAATCTCTAATTGGCAGAAGGATACAACTCAGCACGCAACATGTTAGTGCTCAATATATCACTTCGTCTTGCAAATATACAATAATAAAGCAATATGAATTAAATGGATAATACTTGCAATTTTCACACCAAATTTGAGCAATCTCCCGCTCAGATTTCTATCAGTCATCAAAGTTTCAGTCAATGAATGTGCCTAAAAGATTATCCTAAGGCGGGGTTGTGATAAGAGTGATTGTTCCTCCACAATCAGCTTGGAGACCCGTTGTATTTGCCAAATAGAAGATTCAATATTTATGATAACATTTCCATATGTTTACGGCGATCGCAGAGTTTGGGTGATCCACAGACTCAGTGATTGTGACATGAAACTAAATGATAGCCAATTAGGAAATGACCTGAGGCTTATGCAGTTGCCAGACACAAATTAAGGAGCTGCTGTTTGTGTTGTATAACGTGTCACCCAAATCATTGACTGAAAAAAAAATATATATATATATTAAATTAAAAAAAAAAAAGTTTACATTCCTACATGCATGCATGTCCGCAACCTGATATTCCATGCTTCAAGATGACTTTGAGTGAGAGGTGGTGGAGTACACCCTGGATTGGTCACCAGTGAATCGCAGGGCACAAATAGACAATACACCAATCACATTCATGTCTATGAACAATAGAAATGCTACAATTAACCAACTATGCACGGTTTGCCATTTTGAGAGGAAACTGGAGCAGCCGGAGACATACTCAAACACAGATTTACAAACTGTAGGGCATAATGCCAGTCATCAGGTCATCATGCTGCCATACATCCCACTTGTACTGATACAGGGCGGCCCGTGTTATGGAGAGCTGGCAAGAGCCCGAGTACTCCCTCGGCTGACACCAGCCAATTGCAGGGCACTAATTAGACAAATATCAGCAATTTAGTAATTAGTTAACCTAACACACATGATTTTGTAGTGTATGTGAAAAGTCAGAGCACCTTGAGAGACACTCAAAACCCAGGTCTACTCAGAGGCAGATGTGCTAAACATGTACTTCATAGGGCATTAGTGTGCTCCTTTTTCCTTTACTTTTTTCCCCATATTTGCAGTCTAGGTCGTTCCTACTCCTTGCAGGTTGTTCATTTGGCACAGTGACACACCCACCCCCACACCATATTAACTTCGACGTTTTAACATTTTATCCCCACCACATTTACATACCTGAGATAGTTACATGGCGCGTTCGGTTCTGCTCGCGATGGTCTCGGTTGGGCAGATCAAGTCAGCAGCATCCTCAGCAAACAAGTACTGACCCGTACCCAACTATCGCGTCCAAACTAAAGGTCGAAATGATAGCCAATTTGGAAATGACCTGAGGCTGACGCAGTTGCCAGACACAAATCAAGGAGCTGCTGTTTGTATTGTATAACGTGTCACCCAAGTCATTCACTGCAAAAAAAAAAAAAAAAAAGTTTGCATTCCTACATGCATGCATGTCCGCAACCTGGCATTCCATCCTTCAAGATGACTTTGAGTGGGAGGTGGTGGAGTACACCCTGGATTGGTCACTAGTGAATCGCAGGGCACAAATAGACAATACACCAATCACATTCATGTCTATGAACAATAGAAATGCTACAATTAACCTACTATGCACGGTTTGCCATTTTGCGAGGAAACTGGAGCAGCCGGAGACATATTCAAACACAGATTTACAAACTGTAGGGCATAATGCCAGTCATCAGGTCATCATGCTGCCATACATCCCACTTGTACTGATACAGGGCGGCCCGTGTTATGGAGAGCTGGCAAGAGCCCGAGTACTCCCTCGGCTGACACCAGCCAATTGCAGGGCACTAATTAGACAAATATCAGCAATTTAGTAATTAGTTAACCTAACACACATGATTTTGTAGTGTATGTGAAAAGTCAGAGCACCTTGAGAGACACTCAAAACCCAGGTCTACTCAGAGGCAGATGTGCTAAACATGTACTTCATAGGGCATTAGTGTGCTCCTTTTTCCTTTACTTTTTTCCCCATATTTGCAGTCTAGGTCGTTCCTACTCCTTGCAGGTTGTTCATTTGGCACAGTGACACACCCACCCCCACACCATATTAACTTCGACGTTTTAACATTTTATCCCCACCACATTTACATACCTGAGATAGTTACATGGCGCGTTCGGTTCTGCTCGCGATGGTCTCGGTTGGGCAGATCAAGTCAGCAGCATCCTCAGCAAACAAGTACTGACCCGTACCCAACTATCGCGTCCAAACTAAAGGTCAGAGAGGCTGCACACAGCGAACACGGACAGCTAATGCGGAACAATAGAGCATGGTCACGACGGTGAAGGCGAGGAAGAGCTTTTACGCGCGCGGTAAAAAAAGAATCACAACATTCGACTTCTTGAGCACTCAGGGAGGATGAACAGCTCCTGGGGAAAGCAGTGAAGACAAGAAAGTGAAAGCTGAAAAAAACACGACCCAAGTGACGACTGCGAAGGGGGAGGCGCATAGAAAATGGGAGCCGCCCTCAACGGACTGCTTTGCATCCTTCATACGCACAAAATTGCAGCGTTAGGATGTAATATATTGTTACAAATTACAAAAATATTGCAGTATGAAGAAAAACATTACTTTTATTTTATTATTATTTTTTTGATTGAGCACATACACCAGGTCAAAGGTTTTTGTATTGTATAAAAACAAAGTAAACTGAACTGGTTTTAGAAAGTGGGATTGCTGACGTCACAACTATTGCGTGAATGAGCTGTGTGCCGTTAAGGTGTGGAGTGTAGCAAGTGACGTCAGGATAATGGGCAGTTACTGGGAAGGTAAATTCCTAGTGTGTTTTACATACTTTGCCAATAAATCAGATTCCGATTCTAATAGTTGTATGAGCGTCCGAACGTATGTTACGGCCGACTTTTGCTGCTTGTGAGTCTTTTCGTTGTGCATTTGTGTTTTTGAGTACTTGTAGCGGTCAATAAAAAAAGCTGAAATTGCATCATCTCTCTCTCTCTCTTTAGACTTTTCTTCGGAACAGCAGCGCACATAAAACTTGCTAGTAACTTAAATTTTGGATTGCAACACGAAGCCTCCCCGCCCACAAAAACCAAAAAAAAACAAACAAGACCCCCCCCCTCCGAAAATCGAGCAAGCTCTGATCCCAAACCCAAGTTCAAGAAGTGCACCACAGCAGGTTTTCTAGTGTGCTGAGCGCCACAAACTACTGTATATTTTAGGGTGTTAATTTCAATTAACCCTTTGAGTAATTACAAAGGATATCATAAAAAAAATAATAAAAATACTTGATTGGTGTATCCAATTTGAAGGCCTTTGACGGGTATGAGTATATCAGTAAAGGCAATATGACACTCATCAAGAGCACAAGGTCAGTGTACATATGTACGGAGAACATACAAGGACACTTTTAAATCATTAGGATGATGGTTTTGTTCAGGGTGCAACACTTAAGCAAAGAAGGCGATGTGATTTTAGTGATACATGCTCCAGTAAGCCCTCCTCAACACAGCCCACTGAGCTACAGTAATTGATTTGCCGTCAATCACTGTTCTCTTAATCTACTTACTGTTCCAAGCTAGTCCGTGCAGATATCGACATAGTGGACCTGGCTGACCAAACAAGGCTGAGTCGGGTTGATTAGAATAGAACTTGGATTTTATCAATCCATTCATCCATGTTCCACTCTGCTTGCAATCATTACGGTCGAGGTGGGCCTGAGCTTTCCATAATCACACATTCATAGAAACCTAATGTTCAATTCATCACATAAATGACATTTTCAAAGTACAGCAACTTCCCCAACAATACAAAAGATAACAGGAAGGTGTCATCTGAGGACCAAATGGATGGATTTATCGATGCTGGAAGGCACATTTGAATTAATGCTTATCTGGATCGCTGACTCAAGTGCACTGGACGCTCTCTTCACTATGAGGAAATACTTGTTTTCAACCATGATTCCATGTACAGTATTAAAATCAACTCAGGAAAAAAAAGTGTAAAAGGCATGCACAAAAGCAAAGTTCAATGCAGCTCTGCTTACCTTTTGGCTTTTCCAACGTAGTGCAACTGTGTCTTGAAAGTGAAGGGCTTTCTCTTAGCCTTGCTGCCAAGGCATTGGCAGGGTGTGGATAAGTATTATAAGAATAAATTATGTAGGCTTTACACGATCGGGGTTTTTGGGGTCGATCAGCGATCAGGTACGAAAAAGAAGGATACCCGATCACTAATTCAATCAGAAGATGGACCAATATATCTTTTAAAAAACTTGTATATTTACGACCGTCGAGTCCACCATAGCGCCGGACAAAATAATTTAAACTCCCGAAATTCTTTAAAAAAAAAAAAAAAACGGAAAAAATTTGAACATTATATTTACATCTTTCTTCTCAGTGAATAAAATGCATGAACACTGCCAGTCATTCAGATGGCCGTGGCTTTTGCTAAAACTATTGCTATCTTTGTTCAACATCCGTAAATACGTAGATCTCATCTAGGTATTCATCAACAGTTGAGTGTGTCTTTCAACAATGGAGCTATTTCTGCCTGCCTGCTGGTTGCATCTGTGATTGGCTGAATGGGCGTAGCCGGAAGGTCATGTCAGTTACACTGAGTGATTAAAGCTATTTTGAATTAAAGAGATATTAAAATTAAATGAGTGATACAAAGAGCATGACTGGTTATTTATGTTTAAAAAAATGGTTTCAGACTTTTTACCAGTAAAAAAAAAACATCCCGCCCTCCCAAAAAACAAAACACTATTACCTTGTGATTGGATGGTTGAGGGCATGGGAGAAGGAACTTCCGCCTCCCAGTGGAGAGGCTTTCCTCTCACGTGACAAGGCTAAAAATAGGTTATCTTTTGGGCTCCCATATGCACTATGGCAGCACAGAATGAAACCTGGAGTGAACGAGGTTGTGTTTGCTGTCATGTCTTATTTTGCGGATCCGATCAATGATGTCATTGATAGATTGCAAAAATTATGACGTGACAGTCAATCAGCAAATGCAAACTATCGACGGATTCCGATCCAGACGATAAGATCAGTGTAAAATCTAATATGTCAGATGAATTGTGAAGCCACAATTCAGCAACATTTCAGACGTCACTCACAGACGGATTCTCGAAAACAGCAGCGAACTAATTATTTACTTGATTGGTTGGCAGGCATTTTCAAGATTTAAGTTATTAACCCTTTCAGGGACAGGTTACTTCAGTAGGCAACTTATCATGTTATCAGGTTATCATTCTTGGTGCATCAAAGGGTTAAGTGGTTATCTTAAAATGATACATGCCTGCACAATTAATAAAGTTTTATGATATCCACTCAAACTGATTTTTATATCAAAGGGAACACTCCTCATTCAGCACAGTGAACCAGCATTTTCCAAGGTTTCCAATGCAGAAAGCCTCGAAGCATCAATTTCTGCATTCATGCAATACATAAAGAGCAACGTCTGTTTTCAGCACTGCTGGCATTACTGGAACCAAATCTTCAAGGCACTAAAGCCTTTTCACTTACTCCTTTGCATGTGCAATACTACATTCTGCAGACTTTATATCCATATACATAATACATGCTGAAAGGTCGCTATGTGTCCAGTTGACAATTAGGCCTCTGTGGACATTGACGACACTGACACTGCAAGTCTGTTCCAGCCTGATATGATGTATAGCTTACGGTCGTTGAACTAATCCGATAGTGTCATGCACCAAAGGCACAGCAGCGGCTTGACTCGAGCACACAATCACAACATGTCAATACTCACCATTAATAGCATTAGGGACTTTCTAAAAATGTCCAAGAGAACCGCTAACGTGCCTTCATAAAGATGAATGGGGCAACAAAAAAAATTGTTGAGCAGAGTTACAGGGCCCATTAAAAATATTCCATTTTGGACCTGAATGTTCATCAAAAGTTGAGAATTTGACCACAACTTGGTAGCATATTTAACTGGACACGCACGCACGCACGCGCGCGTGCACACACACACACACACACACACACACACACACACACACACACACACACACACACACACACACACACACACACACACACAGCTTTGCCATGTGGAATGCATCTCGTTGATAGCATTAATCTTGAAGAAATAAAGCCATATCATTTCCAGAAAAATACTATGAAATAAGTCTACTGAGCGAGATTCCACATTTTATGTGAAAGATGCCACGCCGGACGGTCTTTTGATGGGCAAAGATACACTTTGGTAAACGGGTAGACCAGGAAATGAATGCGGAGATGCGATTCGGCTACTTTTCAGAGCAGGTGGGTCGAGTTTAGTTCGATACAGGGCTGTTGGCCACCCTAAAATCTTGAAAAATCTGAAACAATTTACCTTATCACCTTTAACAGAAAGCTGCTATGTAACTGTTTCCCCAAGTAACTTGAAAATGTTCACAATATATAATTGTTTGCTTGACTGATGTTAGCGTGTTTCATGTATTAAAGTTGAAGAATTTTAAAGTGGCCCTCGCATCCTTGCATTTTGACGAATGCAGCCCTCAAACGAAAATGTTTGGACACCCCCGGTACAAACGGTACACGGTCTCGAGTGTGACAGCAGACTGCAATGTGACGCAATGAGGAAAGGCTGTTATTTCGGCACATCGATTATTTGCAGCCGCCATCAACACACTTTAATGGAAGTGTCAGGGTGTGTGATTGCATATTAAATGGGGCGGGGGCTCAGCTGCAGCTGGAAAACAACACAGGTCACATCATGCAGCGAAGAGAATAAGTACCAACACTATACTTGATGAAGATGGAAAACAATTGTCACTCTTGACACGTGAATCCTCCCCTTTCAAACTGTTTAGCTCAGGGGTGTCAAACATACGGCCCGCGGGCCGGAACCGGCCCCCAAGGAGGTTTGATCCGGCCCGCGGGATGATTTAAAAGTGAAAAAAAATGCATTAAAGACACAGAATAAATATTTTAAATCAAATGCAATTCGTGGATTATCCGCTAGGGGGCACATTGTTTTGATCACAGTAGAACACAACATTGTTTTGATCGGAGAAGAAAACAGCAGTCTCAGTCTGTCACCGAGATAGACCCAACGCAGCAAATGATATGAAAGTGCCAATCAATGCTTCTTGAGACCAAAACAAAGGAAAGAGATGATATTTTGATGATTCATAGCACAGTATGGTATAATGTTAATGGTCCGGCCCACTTGACATCTACCGAGTCCGTATGTGGCCCACAATGTGAAATGAGTTTGACACCCCTGGTTTAGCTAGTGAACATCCACTGAATATTAGGTCATTGAAAAAAGCCATTTTCGTCATATCTAAGTAAACCACCACTAGTCTCTTTTTAAAGGGAGCA